AAGGTCCCATTCATCTATGTTATCTTCTCCTGGTTGTAGCTTTTCCAGGATACTGGGAAGACTGTTTATGTTGTGGATTAGGACTTCTTGGTCAACAATGAAATATTGCAACAAGTGACATAGATAAAGAATCAGTGATGATGAAGAAAGAAGTTCAAGCTACATTAAAGACATTGGCAAAAATTAAGTCCCAGAAATTGATGTGATTCCAATTGAAATGTTTCAAGTATTAGATGCAGCCCTGGATGGACCTATGCAAGAAATTTGGAAGACAGACACTACCTGGCCAGCTGCCTAGAAGAGACCTATATTTGTTCCCGTTTCCAAGAAAGGAGATCCAACAGTGTGGAAATTATCAAACAATATCATTGTTCACATGAAAGCAAAATATTAATTGAAGATCATCTAAAAATGACTCGAATAGTGCACTGAAAGAGAACAGCTAGAAAGTCAAGCTCATATTAGAAGAGGCCATGGCACCAGGGATGTCAAGGAGCTGCACTGTAATCCCGAAGGCACATATTTCAAATCCACGAACCACTTCTTGAGATAAAGATGGGCGGTCTCCTCTGGTGTGATTAACTGCCTCTGAAAACCTGCTGGAGGGTCAGCCGTAGGTCGGCTGCAGCTCAGTGGTACACAACAACATTGGCTATAACCATTTACTCCTCACTTATCGACATGGTTATGTTCCAAAGACCAGGTCGTAAGGCAGAAATTGGCATTATGGAAATGGAAAATGTTCACATCAAAAGACACAAAGGAGAGTGCCTGCATCCTCACTTGACTGCCACGTGACATCTTACCTGTCAAACCACTGAGAATCATGACCCAGCCAAGCTGATCCATAACCTTCACCATTATAACCAGCATTACTTTTGCCTTGCATTTCAAATTCATTACTACTGGATGCACATCATTAATGTGAAACTACAGTGTAGGTTTTTTCTGTATATAATCATAAATGTAAAATGTCAGATAATGAGATTGTTGGTAAACTACACTTACTACTGAGTAGGGATAGACATATTAAAATGGAATATGTTTTCAAGGAGAAGGAAATAGTGATAAGATACTGATTACTTGCTTGTTTCTTTTTAGTAACTTTTCTTTTACAACAGGAATTTTTTAAAACAAAGCAATGAAAGAAAATAGAGATTACTTAGAATTCTGCTGCTTTGATAAGCACACACAGGTCACTGGTTTGCCAGCTTTCCACTCTTGTCCATCTCTGTCCTTTCCTTGGAAGCCACAATAACCCTTTCAGATGCAGAGCAGTTATAATCTGATTTCTGATGGAATGATCTTAATTTCCTCCTCTGTGGTTGCTAACTAGCTTTAATTCCTCTAGGTTCTTAACAGTTCCGAGAACATGCCAGATTCTTTTCTTGCTTTGGACGTCATTGGAGTTTTGCTGCTTTTGCCTAGAATACACCCTGACCTTCACATGAGCACTCTGCTCTCATCTTTCAGCTCTTTACCAGACACCTTCTCTCGCTCCACTGTCATTTTTCAAAACTCAACAAAACCTCCAGCTCATTGCCTTCACATTGGCCCTGACTCATAGCTGAGCCTCCCTTGGGTTTTTGGAGACTGTAAATCACACAAGAGGTGATTGCCTGTCCGTCTTTCCTATGAGTATTGAAGTTCTGGAAGGTCCAGTTGTCTTGTTCACATCCTCCGTGTAGAGCCTGGTCTGTAGAGGCTCAGTCTAGCCTATTTCCTTAAATTGATTCTTCTTTTTTTTTTTTTTTTAAAAAAAAAAAGTTAATATCATAAGGATTTCTTTTCTAGAAATTTTCCCAAATGGAAATGTGTTCTATTTAATATGCCCATTAAAAAGCAAATAAAAGAAAATGTGAAAAATAGGACCTTTTAAAATTCCCCAAAGGCAATTAACAAATATGCTTTTCTTTATGTGTGTGACTAATATGAGTAAAGAACTCAGAATATGCAGTGTTTTCGTTCAGTATTTATTGTAGACATTTTTACAAGTCATTCCTTAACTAAATCTGCCACCTTACCATTACTAGTGCAATACTGTCTACTATGTCTGTATACTCTTGTTTAACAAAGCATAACCTCCTTTTAAGTCACCAGTGTCTTACCTTTTTTAACTTCTCCCTTTGATAAAACAAAAAGTTTTTACCTAACCTTTTCATCATGTGAAGCATTAGTAGAAAGATAGTTTATTTACCCCATTTCATTTGTTTACTTAATTATTATTTCATGTGGTTACAGGGGATTTAATGTTTGACTTTGTAAATTGTGTATACATATCCTTTGGTTAATTATATATATTTTATTGTATGTATAATCATGCCATTGTCGTGTACCATCCAGTTGCACCCAACCCATAGCTGACCCTCCAGTGGATTTTCAGAAGCAGAAATTGCACAGAAGGAGATTGTCCATTTTCTCCTACAAAGCAGCTGGCAGAATCAAACTGTGTGCCTTCAGAATTGCAGCGCAGATTCTTACCACTAGGCCACCAGAGCTCCCTTTCTAATAAATCATAATCATAATCATATATGTATTTGTGTGTGTATATGTATATATGTATGTATTTGTGTGTGTGTATATATATTTGTTTAAGATCTTTCATATCTTTGCAGCTTAAAATATTTTAAAAATTAAAAACTTTTTCCCATAGCCAAGAAACTAATTCAGACAATAGGCGCTTCAAAGCCAGGAAATAAGGACGAAAGGAAAGAAAGTGCACCTCAACCAAAACGAGCCAAACGGAAACTGTACACAAGTGAAATCTCATCTCCTATTGATTTATCTGGACAAGTGGTAAGAAACTTCCATTTTGTTAAAATCTAAATCTGTCCATGGTCTTTTAAAGTGTGGATTATCATTTTTGATTTCTAAACAGTTTGAATTTGTACTCTTTATAGCAGATCTCTTAAATGCTATACTTTTGGTCCAAGGCTTACTGAGTTTATTATAGTAATTAAACATAAGTACTTTATTAATGCTGTCAAGGAGTTTGTTCATAGGGTCGCTATGAGTCGTCTACGACTCGACGGCACTTAACAACAACAGCTATATTAATGTAGAAAAATGCACTGCCATTTATACTTGAAAACAAATCAGGAAGTTTAATTCCATCAGTGGAATTAACCACCATTTGTTTACCTGCATGAAACATCTATTTTTTTCTTGTTGACTTTCATTACAAGAAATATACTTATCTATCTGATAAAAACTAGAGACAATATTTGAATCCATGTCACTTGGTACCAGCAGCTAAGAAATCAAAACACACTTGATATTTAATCATTCCTCCAATCACTTCGGGTTCTGTACCAAAAAAGTTTTACCCTATGGCTCATTCTTAAAACACGCTGTGCTGTGTATGATAGGAAAAGTTCTAATTTTTGATCATGTTTCTATTTGCTTAGACATATATTCTTCACAACACTAAAGGGAAAAACCCTCACAAGAAGTGATCTTGAAAAATTGAACCCTTTTGTAATAATAGTTATTAGCTACCTAAACGCAAATCCTAAAGAATTAGATCCTATATGACATTCAGTTGGTTGTTTTCTACAACCTCAGTGACTGTTCTGTTTCCTCCCTTGACTTCTTTTGTGGTTGCAGAAAGCCCAGTCTATCTTGTAAGTTAGGAACTCGGGACTATGAAGGGTCAACTCTGTTTTTCTTGTTGACTTTCATTGCGAGAGGTACACTTACCTGTCCAAAATATACATGATAAAAACTAGAGATAATAGAAAGTAGTGGATAATTTAAGAATATTTCTGTAAGATTGTATACCTACAGCCTGAGACAGAAATATTATAATACTTTGCATGTTTAACACATGTTGTATGTATTAAGCAGATGAACATTTAGTCAAGCTTTCATTAAATTTTCACTTTGTATTTTTTAATAATTTTGAAATTCTAAATTTCAGATATTGATGGACCAGAAAGTAAAGGAAAGTGATCACCAGATTCTCAAACGGCGACTTCGAACAAGAACGGCTAAATAAATCTTCTGGAAAGTGTTTTTATGTTTAATGTAAATTTGTTCTAATAATCACTGTAACTTACATCCTTCCCAACCTTTTAAAAGATAATTGTATATATTATGATATGCTAAACCTCTTTATGTACTGATTACTACTTTATATATGATGTCATTTTACATCAATAAAGAATTTAAGTCAGTAATCTATTTCCTTGTTTACTTTTATGAGGCTTTGTAGACTTAAATTATTCTCAGATTGATTTCTCTATTATCCAAGGCGTAGAATCATTGAGAGTTTAATACTTCTTTTTCTATGCCTGGAGCTTCTTCTAGGTGGTATAGCACTGGTCTGTGCGTTGCTGTACAGAGGTACCTCGTGGTTGCTGTGATGCTGAAGCCTGTGACACTGCTGAGTCAAATGCAATAATGGTTACCCATGGTGGACAGTGTTTGGTGGAGCTCCCCGATTAAAACAAGCCTGGAAGCAGGAGTGGTATCTACTTATGAAATGGCTTGCCTCCAGAAACTCTATTAACAGTGCCCAGGTCTTTCGTTCATAGGGTCACTATGAGTCGTCTACGACTTGATGACACCTAACAACAAAAACATGCATGGAGTTTATAGGTCAGACACTTGGCTGCCATTTAACAGGCTTTGGTTTTCATTCTGTTAGGATGTGCACCTGTTTTGACATAATCTGTTTGGCGTAAGCCCAGCATTCACAGTCTGGAGAGGAGACAGCCCATCCTGTGACCCTGGAGCCGCTGGTGGGTTTGAAATGCGTGCCTTTGTTTTGGCAGCACAGCTTCTTACCACTGAGCCACCAGAGCTCCATTTACTGCAGAAGATCAAAGACTAAAACTTTCACTATGGATTCCATCTCAATGTCAAGAAAACAAAAACTCTCACCACTGAACCAACAGACAATATCATTATAGTTATTTCATCTTACTTGGATCCACAATCAATATGCTTGGTACCAGGAGTCAAGAAATCAAAACACATATTGCATTGGAAAGCCTTTTAAGGACCTCTCCAAGATACTTTAGAGCAGTGACATCAGTCTAAAGACTAAGATTGAAAGTTGGATGATGACTAAGGATGACAGAAGAAGAAATGATGCCTTTGAGTTGTGGTTTTGGAGAAGAGTACTGAATATCTCATGTTCTGCCAAAAGAGCAAATATGCCTTGGAAAAGTGCAACTAGGGTGCTCCTTGGAGGCACGAATGGTGAAGCTGTCTCACATACTGTGGCATGTTGGTAGAGGGGCCAGTACTTGGAAATAGACATCATGATTGGAAAGGTGAAGGACCAGCACAAGACAGGGGGACCCTCAAGAAGAAGGACTGGCACAGTGACTAACACTGGAGTCAAACACAAGAGAAAGAGAATGGCACAGAAGAGGGCAGTGTTCAGATCTACTGTTCATGGGGTCACTGAATCAGGCCATTGTGTTTTCAGTCACTTGCTATGAATATGAAAGATGGTAAAAAAATAAGGGTGACCAGAAAAGAATTTATGCCATTGAGCTGTAGAGTTAGAGGAGAGTACTCAATATCCCATGGGCAACCAGCAGAACAGAAATCTTGGAGTAAGTGTAGCCAGAGTTCTCCTTGGAGGCAAAGATGGCAAAGCTTTGTTTCCCATATGCAGGGCTTGTGGCCAGGAAAGGCTATTATTCTTTAGAGAGGAACATCATGCTTAAAAAGATGAAGGGTTAACGACCCTCTGTGAGATGGTTTCGATAACTGCCTGCAGCGGTGGGCGTAAGTAGGTCAGAAATAATGAGACAGGACAGGATTCTGATCTGTTGGTCATAGGGTCGCTATGAGTCATACTCAACTCATTGGCACTTAACAAATTTGCAGCTTTCAATACTGCCAATCAATTTTCCAGGTATTTGTACCATTTTACACTGAGTATGTGAGTTGCTGGCAAGGATTCTTGGAGGCAAGGATTCTGAGGCTCCATCTAACATACTTTGGACATGTTGTGAGGAGAGACTGGTCCTTGGAGAAGGACAACATGCTTGGGAGCTTGGAGGAACAGCGCAGAAGGGGAAGGCCCCCTATGAGGTGGATTGATTCAGTGACTGGGGTAATTGGGATGAGAGTGTCGGAGACAGTGCGATTGGCACAGGACAGAGCAGAGTTTAGGGCTGTTGTATGTAGGGTCGTTATGAGTCACAAACGACACATAACAACAACATGTGAGTTGCTGTTGCTGTCTCTGAAGGGTGTGGTGGTTGGCATAGTCATAGCGACTTCATTCTGCATTTTGTTGGTTACCAAGGAGCTTGAACACATCTTCCTATACTAATTGGCCTGCTGAATAACACCTTTTGTGAGGTCTCATGTTAATTGATTTTTCTGCGTTGCTGGTCCTTTCCCTCATCTGTTTGTAAGTGATCTGTGCATTTGGCTTATGAGTTCTTTTTTTCAGGTATGTATAGCAAAGGTCTCTGCCTTGCCTTTTCTCTTTTGATGGCATGTATTTTGCATAGCATTCTTAGTTTTTAGTGAGATGGTTGATCAGAATCGTCTAACCAAATTGCTGGATACAGAATATAGTTTATTTAATAACTATGCAAAAGAACACACAGGTGTGTCTTGGAGAAAGTGCACCCAGAGTGTTCTTGGAAGCAAGGATGAACCTTCATCTCATGTACGTTGTGCATGTTGCTAGGAAAGGCTGTTCCTTGGAGAGGGATGTCATGCTTGGGCAGCTGGAAGGGTGGCATTTGGAAGACCACCAACCAGATGAATTGACAGTGACTACAGCAAATGCTTTGAGGATGTAGGAGATTGTGAGGATGCGGCTGATAGGACAGGGTTCAGATGTGTTCATAGGGTCGTTATGAGATGTGCTCGACTCGATGGCACCTAACAACGACATACCAATAATTGTCTTTATTCTAAACCACCACGGAAGTATAGCCTTTGGGTTAGCACTGCAGCTCACTACGGTTAAAGCCATCCGAGCTCTGTCGAATTCAGAAGAGCTCTAGTTGCAGAATCCATAGTATGTTGTGTTGCTAACGAAGGCTGTATGTCTCCAAGAGTTCGAATCCACCAGCAGCCCTGAGGGAGACAGGTGGACGGTATCCCTCCATTTAGAGTTAAAGGCAGTAAGTTAATGCATTAAATGGGGAAATACGTAAGACAGATTTTCTTTTTTTGTCAAAAATTAGATGAATTTATAATGTTATTCAGGGAATGAAAGTCTGTTTATTTCTTTGGACAATTAAATTTACATAGGAAATAATTTAGATTTCTTATATTAACAACTTCAGGATGATTCGGCTCTGGATAGAAGGTGTAAAGAAGGTCTTTGGAGGTCATATAATTTACTCCCATCAAAAAAACCCTCTAAACTTGGCTCACAAAATGTAAACATTGTATTTCACACCATTCTTCATTCATATTGTGTTTCATACAAAAAAATCACCATTGAACCATACCCATCATTACCCAATCTTTTCAGGTCCCCACTGGATCCTTCCCATTTCCTTCACCCCCTCCCTCCACCCCCCCAAACTGCAACCCTATGGTTTCACCCCTATCCGTCCTCACCCCTCTGCTCCCACCCCTTCCCCCCTCCTTGTGTCCCCATACATGTGAGCAAACGAATATAAAAACAAACGAACAACAAAAAAGCTAACTGGGGATTGGCAGTTAGGGAAGAAAATGTGCAACAATGAGTGAACAATTCAACTTTTCTGTAAACTCTCATTAAAATTAAAATCACGATAAAAAAATTTAAAAGTAAACCCTATATTTCTGTCAAGTAAGAACTGATTCCCACAAATTTCTTTTTTATGTTAAATTTTACAGGAAGAATAATTGTCTCAGAATGAAGGGATTTCGAGATGCTTGAGTTTCAATAGAGAAATTGGTGGCCTACTGGGTAATATGACTAGGGGTGATTGAAGGAGAATTGATGCCTTTGAGCTGTGGTGCCGGAGAAAAGTATTGAATATACCATAGACTGCTAGGACAACAAACAAGGCTGTCCTGGAAAAGAGTGAAGCCAGGCTACTCGTTGGAGGCAAGGAGTCTGAAGCTTAATCTGACATACTTTGGACATGTTGCAAGGAGGGACCAGTCCTTAGAGAGGGGCGTCATGCTTGGGAGGGTGGAGGGACAGCGCAGGAGAGGAAGGTCCTCGATGAGATGGATTGATTCAGTGACAGGGGTAACGGGGGTAGATGTGTCAGTGACAAAAAGATTGGCACAGGATAGAGCAGTGTTTAGGGCTGTTGTACACAGGGCCGCTATGAGTCGCCGGCGCATAACTACAACCATGGGTAACAATGACGTGCCCTCCCCAAGGCAGCTGCCCTGAGAAGAAAGTTGTGCAGCCGACAGTGGGATTCACAGCCTCTAAAACCCTCTCGAGGGTCAACCTTGGGTTGGTTCCGACTCGATGGCAACGTACTTCGGTGGTTCTTGACTTTGAACCACATTGAAATGACCTCTCTATCCTCTCAAAGACCTGACTTCGAAAGGCCTGAGTGTATCCCAGAGCCCATAATTTAAATTGATCCGGGAGCAGGTGCGTTTACTGGGATTATTTACAAACTCCACCAGGTGGTGCTAATGTCCAGCAGAGCTTGAGAAGCACGCTTGGTGTTGCAAAGACAAGACTGTCCACCAGATGGCAATAAAGCATCACTCATGGGGGACCCTTAGGCCCGGCCAAAAGCCAGTCTTTTCATTCCACCCCCTTCATTATATAATACACCAAGTAGACAAATAGGTGAATAAATGGGTCAAATTCTCTTTGGTGTGTTGCTTTCCAACCAAAGAAATACTTGTAAACACTGGGGAAAGATTCCAGGAAAGTTTCAAGAAATAACATCTAGTTAAAATTTGTTATTTCCTCAGTTACTTGAAATAGCATCTAAAAAAGGTTTGTGTTTTCATACCTCCTTTGGATATAATGGAGCTCAGGTGGTGCTGTGATTGCCTACCCAAAGTCCAGAAGCTGGTTTGAATGGTTCTAATCCAGCTGCTCTGTTG